GCATTGGCTTAAAATAAATAAGGGTTTTTTTTGTGATGTCTGAAATAAAATTGGCACCTGGGTTACAAATTATTATACTGGGTGGACTATAGAGTGACGTCAATAGACTAAATTTAAATTCCTTTTCTGAGGGTTATCCAAATCACCAGAATGTATGTTCCCCGAATTTTCGTAGTTTCTGAGTTATTCAACATTTAAAGTTATATGGGAAAAAATCAACATGTAGAAGTTATTCAGTTTTTTTTGTATGCTCGAATGTTCATTCAAAAACATTCCAGCATCCAAAAAAAAGTACTGAAAATTCACTTTATTCCATACAATTTTAAAAGTTGAATAACATGGATTTGGATACACCTCAGTATATGGAATTTAAATTTTGTCTGTTAACGAACGTCACTGTGTAAGGTCCACTCTGTATTTCACAGAACCGTCTAAAATCGATTAAAATAAATATCTTAGTTAGATTTTAGCCATTTTATATGGTTCTGTAGAATCAAGTCAAAACAAAACATGGTAGTACTACCTGGTTCAATAAAGGTAATACGAATGGCAGCGGTTTTGTAAGCGGGAGGGAGAAAGCATGAACGCCAGGTCTATATTTGTAGTGTAAAAGAGCCTTAGTGTGAGTGAGAAAGCATAACTTTCAGCCGCCATTTATAATCCCATTCTTTATTGAACTAGGTAGAATTTATTTATTATTATCATCCTTTGTAACTTATTTATCCACAATAGATTTAATAGATTACAAAGCACCACAGGAGTTAAATAGGTATTTCGTTAATATAATTATATTCTGAACGAGTATCCTTACGTCTTAATAAATTATTACACAGGGTGTTACAAAAATTACTACGTTCCTTCAAACCACGCGTATCTATATACATAACACCCTGTATTATGTACTTACTTACATATGAAGGTACTAAAATATAGTTAGTGTGGAACACTGAATCGACAAAAGATGGCAAAAAAATATTGCGAAATGTATTTCTTTTGTATACCTATCTTGTCATTTTATTAAGGTATTAATAATATATATTGGAATGTGAGAATAATACTATGTCTAAAATGTTAATTTAAAGCAAAAGTCAATCAAAAATGCATTCATCAGGTCAGGAGTTTTTTTTTTGTATAATTCGTGTTTGAGTAAGAGGTCAGTGTGCTAACGGTTTACTCCTAACCTCTCCCCGCAGGAGTATAAATAAATGTAGGTAATTTATACTATTTTGTCAGGTCTTCAAACGTGCATACGATAAATATTAAAGGGTTCAAGATATACTAGTGATCCATATAGTAACTATGAAAAACCATAATAAGTTGATTCGATGAAACTTGCTTCTGTCTATAGATAAGTAGTCCCATAATCTTCTGTCTATTTATAGTCTAGTAATATTTAAGTAACGAGAACCCTGTCTAGTATCCATTTTGTCGGCAGTCGGTGTGAATTTTCGTGGCGCCTAACGTTGTGGTAGCGTTGATTTGCGTGGCGCGCCTAATGACTCACATGGTGCAAGGGTTTCGTATGCTTCAGGATAATATAGAAATATTAGGTACGTATCATACAAAAACAACGATGCCTAGATAGGCAGGTAAGTTAGATATAACAATGGCAGTAAGTCAATAAATATAAGGGTTCAAGATGTAATGGTGATCCATATAGTAATTCGATATAACTTGCTTTTGTCTATTGATAATAGTCCCATAATCGTCTGTCTATTGATAGTCTAGTAATATTTAAGTAACGAGAACCCTGTCTAGTATCCATTTTGTCGGCAGTTGGTGTAAATTTTCGTGGCGCCTTACGTTTCGGTAACGTTGATTTGCGTGGCGCCCCTGTTGATTTGCGTGGCGCGCCTGTTGATTTGCGTGGCGCGTCTGTTGATTCGCGTGGCGCTAGGGTTTCGTGTGCAGGTACTCAGCGACGAACACTCTGAGGATCTTGTTGAGGTTTTCGATGGTGTGGAAGTCCAGCGCTGATCTGTCGTCGGCTGCGGTGTGCCAGACGGATGGGAACGGCGTTGGGATCACGTGCAGGACGTCCACGTCTGGAAGAGAATAAGTTCTAGGTAAATACTTTGGCAAGCTTAGATGGGATGATGGGGCTGAATTATTTTTAGGCTCTACCTATTTAATCGAACTATTTTATTTCGTAGCGGTTTCCCGGCGCGTGTTAAATATATAAACCTTTCTCTTGAATCACCCTATCTCTTCTAAAAAAACTGCATCAATCTATTGCGTGGTTATCGAATTCCACGACAGACAGACAGAGGCATTTATATTATGTATCGATAATATCTATATTGACGATGCACCTGTCAAAACAATAAGCAGAATTTGAATAGAAAAATAGTCATGAGACAAGCTCAAGGTTTGCCAAAGAGCGGAGCGTAATTGGCATCAAACGGATTCTCGATCTCAATGCCTAGAGTGGACAGAGTTGGATCGAAAGCAGCGGAAGACCGCGGAGAGACCATTCTCAAACAGTGGAATTTGTTTAATAATGAGACAATTAAGTACTGCTCGCTGAACTTCGTACTACAGTAGTAAACTAGCGAGCTGGATTTGAGTCAGTAGAAATACAATTCCGATATCAAACGAATTTGTTCATAACAAGGGCATGTGCGACACATGTTAGTTAGGGCATGTGTGAATTGATTAGTAGTAGAACGATATGCGCAGCGATTTCTAATTCTGATTGAAAAATACGTTTCCAGATTTAGATTTCCCGGGTACAAATTTACCTACATATAAATAAACCTTCCTGTTGGAATTCCGTAAACGACAGTGAAAATCGCATCAAAATTCATGACAGGTTTAAGAGGAACGAACTTTACCCGAATAGACGCTACCGCACCGAAATGCGAACAGTACCTAGATGTGGCTACAAACAGAGTATCCGATTACTGGATTTTGATCTATGCAATGTCCTGTTCAAATAAAAAAAAACAATGAGGATCTGCGCAACATGTTTTGTTAGGACACAAAATCATGTAGCAAAAGGATTTGGCTATGTTTTTTATGTTATGTATGAATGACAGCTGGCCGCCTGCCTTTCCTGCCTTCTTTGGGAATACGTACGCCGCCTTTTACGAAACACCCTAGACTAGGGGTGGCAGTATTCCTAGCCACTATCACACGGCACTACTAATATTGGTAAATAATTCCTATGTTTGTATCTAGATCGAGTGGGATTCAAGAGTTAACCTTCCATACATGTCACTGGTTTATTAGATTAGGACATAGAATAAATTAGTGTTCATATTATAATCTATGGTTTAGGTTTAATCTAGGTCATCCACTGGCACTAATATGTCTGACACACTGAAAATATCGCTGTGACGTTAACAAAATTATGGTGATTTTGTGAATATGATAATTATGTGAAATCAAATTGTATGTTCATGCGTACCTACACAACTGAAAGAACTTAGATAGGATATAGGATTGGCGAGCGCAGTGCAAAGTGTTGTAGATATTCACTTTGAACGCTGCTGCCTATTCCTTGGATCCATCCCGTAGTCGGCTTTAACGTCACCCAGGGGTGGAAACGGTGTGATGCCATTCTAAGCCGACACCACACGTCTATTCTATTCTACCTACATTCTAGAGACTAAAACCCCTAAGTTCCTATATAACTCCTGAACGAGAGTCAAACCCGAAACCCTCTTCACACAGAATTGGTTAAGAAGGTAAAAATATTATTAGCATAACAATAACTTGTGATTTCACGCTGCTGTATGAGCAAGAGCAACTATCTCGAGATAATTTTAAGATTTTTCCTTATATATGTGGTAAAATAATACAAGTGGCATAGTAGGTAAGGTTTATTGGGGAGTTGTTCAGTTTCATGAAAACCTTGAAGTTTCTAGATTTGCAGATTGTTACACCTTGGTACTGTACCTATTGGCATAAGAATAAATAATAGTGTGTTTACTCTTATGCTATTGGTACTTGGTATACTTCACCTGGTGAAACTCATTCTTTGAATGACTCTCAAATTTTTGTCACAGGTGGTGTAAATGGCTATTTTTTTCAGCTGTGTACCTTCTGCCTACCCCGCGAAGGATATAGGCGTGATTTGCGTATGTATGTATGGGTACACCCTGTTTGGTCTGTGATCATGATCATAGCCTCAAATTATAGCAAAATGACCACATTATTATCACACGGTATTTCCATCAGATTTCCAGATAGCTACCTACCTATGCGTCACGTAACAAAATCACGAATCGCCGATTGACAAGGCCAATCCTTATCTTCCGTATCTGTGACGAGAATTTGTATGGCTAATAATGCATTATACACTTCAATATAAGGTCCTATTAAATTCACTGCAAATATTTTAAGGGCATGCGATATTTTAAATATTTATAAGAAAAACTTCTTATAAAAATCGAGACGCTAGTTTTCTCTTTTTCATTTTCAAAAAACTTTTTCTTTAGTTACGTGAACATCCTTTGACTGACCCGACTGACGTTCCGCCACGTAGACAGGATTCACTTACACGGCACGCACACTAACAACCAATCAATCACAGTACCTTATTTTGGCGCGTAAATTAAATTCGTTTAGTGGTGTGTTTCTAGGACAAATAGGCTGCACTTTTATCGTTTTTTTTTTATTAAATACAATTTTCTCGAAAACTAGCGTGTAAATTTTTAAAAATTAGCCTAGTACCAGTTTCTATTTTATTTGATCTGCCCCTAAAATATTTGCAGTGAATTTAATAGGACCTTAATATCGTTGATACGAGTCGGATGAATCGGATCAGAATCTTATCAGAACTACCGAATTGATTTATGGTTCTTACATGGGATTTTTCATGCACTTACAGTGCTATATTATTCTCATAAATTGAAAAAGAGTAAATTGAAAAATTCCTTAGCGACCGCCGCCGGGACTTGAACCCGTGATCGTGGGGTACCGACCGTCTCACAGCTCTGCCAAACCAAAATTGATCGTTGCTTCAAGAGGTTGAAAAATTCATCAGGGTCCGCCAGGCGCCCGTAGATAAGTTGGCATAGCGGTGGTGAGACGGTACCCCACGGTCCCGGGTTCAAGTCCCGGCGGTCGCTAAAGAATTTCAAATTTTCTCATTTTAAAAATTTTTTCATACTTGCTTTTGACGCATAAAAGTAGCAATTATTATCAAAAGCTTTTTAGAAGCAACAAAATAATTATTGGCACTAAAAAGGTATACGAGGAGACACACCGTCCTAGATCCCCAATACAAGTACCTATTGCGAGCGAAGCGACCTTGACTTTTCACTTAGAAGTGGTGGTCATACATAATAGTTTGATAATGATAACCGAAATGATGGTGTCCATCAGAATGACTGGCCAAAGTAATAAATAGACATTTAAATATTATCATAATTTGGTACCTATTTAGTACTATTTGGTACCTATGCTTAAATATTTGGTACCTAATTATTAAAAAAGATATTGAATAAATAAAGTGGTCACGGTCAGTCATTCTGATGTCTGAATGACTGGCCACATTTATGATTTCCATAATAACGGCTTTATAATAATGCATTTATCTGTGAATTATTTAGCACCTAATTAGTACCTAAACATATCTTTTTTGTAGATCTTTAAAGCAAGCCGAACAGTTTTTTTTATAGGTATGACTTGCCAAAGAAATAAATAGACATTTAAATATTGTCATAATTTAGTACCTATTTAGTACTATTTGGTACCTATACTTAAATATTTAGTAACTAATTAATAAAAAAGATATTGAACAAATAAAGTGGTCAGTCATTCTGATGTCTGAATGTCTGGCCACATTTATGATTTCCATAATAACGGCTTTATAATAATGCATTTATCTGTGAATTATTTAGCACCTAATTAGTACCTAAACATATCTTTTTTGTAGATCTTTAAAGCAAGTCGAACAGTTTATTTTTATCAGTATGACTTGCCAAAGAAATAAATAAACATTTAAATATTGTCATAATTTAGTACCTATTAAGTACTATTTGGTACCTATGCTTAAATATTTAGTACCTAATTAATAAAAAAGATCTTGAACAAATAAAGTAGTCAGTCACTATGATAAAAAAATCTGTTCGGCTTGCTTTAAAAATCTAGAAAAAAACTAAATTATACTACTAGGTACTAAATTATTCACAAATAAATGCATTATTATAAAGCCGTTATTATGAAAATCTTAATGTGGCCAGTCATTCAGACTCAGACATCAGAATGACTGACCACTTTATTTATTCAATATCTTTTGTATTAATTAGGTACTAAATATTTAAGCATAGGTACCAAATAGGTACTAAATTATGATAATATTTAAATGTCTATTTATTACTTTGGCCAGTCATTCTGATGGACACGAAATGATGTTATATCAGCTGTAGAATTCTTGGTGAGTGGGGGGCATTCATAGCATAGACAATAGGCCTGGTATACGCCACTGCTTTTAAAAGTGCGTCCACTGCATAGTTTGCCAGTGAAGAGAATATAGCAAACTTCGATAGCGCGTTTCAGGCTGTACGTACTGACGCATTTTTGTCTTCAGCTCCATCTATCGGATCCGTCGAGAACCTTCTTCCTAAAAGTCGCTGAAACACTCACTCCTCATAACTTTTAAAGCACCCGCGATTACGTAACTATTATGTGCACTCACTTCTCCTCAAGAAGGGGATGTGGTCGTCCTCGATGAAAGCGCCGGAGCTCCTCAGCCGGAAGTACGTCTGCTCGGCCTTCCCCTTGGAGTAGGATTGGAGCTGGTCCAACTCGGCCAGCCGCTGCTCGGCCGCCGCTAGACGCACGTACCACTTCTCGGTCGCTTGGAAGTAGCTGTAGAACACCGGGTCGGGCGCGCCGAGTAAGTCTAGGAGGACAAGGACGTCCTGAAAGAAAAAAAGCTTGTTACACTCAGACTCATACAAAAAAGAAATAATAAACACTCGTGACACTCTACCCGATCTACTTAAATTGTCTAACCAGTCACATATAGGTTCCCTTGACTTTAACAACATCACTTCTTTTATTAGAATTTTTGTTTTCAGAGGAATGTGTGATACCAGCAGCGGTTAGAAAGCCCGTGCAAGTGTTTCAAATATTGTAAGAAAACATAAATATATATTTCCAAACGATAGAGACCCTCCAAACTCTCGACTACGACCGAGAAATAAAATGGCAATACCCTTTTCTAGGATGAAAATATTTTGCTCAGGTCCCTATGCAATGGGAATAATAGTAGTTTATGCAACTGCCTAATAATGAGAGGCTTTAGGATGGGAGTGTCTGTTTATCACACGAGGCGCAGCCGAGTGTGATAATAGTTTGACACGAGCATTCTAAAGCCTAATTTTATGCAGTTGCATACACTATTTTATCTACACTCTACAAGAAAAACTGTGAAAAATAATTCAAACCTCCGCACTGCACTATGGCGATTGCAAGCCTATCTACTGAACCACCAACTGAACGACTTTTGTACATAAGTAACTTTTTAACTAAACGTTAAAATGGAGGCTCATAAAAACTGAACAACTTTTAAAATTAAAGAGCATTTATTGGTGAATTTTAATTCGAAAAATGATTTGAAGCAAAGATTTAATAATAAATAAGTCCTCATAATTTCAAGTGTCGTCCCGTCCGGGTGACACCACTTGTTTTTTTTTCATTTGACTTACTGTTGGCCAATGTCAAATTGGAACAGATTACAATTTCTACAATTTGGTACACGGGTCAATTCGTTTTTTTTTTTTTCAAATACTAGAAATCGAGTTACTTTATGTAGCTGCCAGTAGTATGAAAGTTTTTTTTAAAGGCTGTATATTCGTAATGCAGTTCAGTACGTTCGTACTTTCGATTCTGTAAAACGAATATTACGAAATGAGTGTAGGTAGATAAAGTTTATAACAACATTCCTAGTATGATAAAATTCAAAGAAAAAGACACAATATTTAACTCTAGGCTTTTTATACACTCCAAGAGTACTTTGATAATACTTTACATCATTAATTTATTAAGTTTAATCTTTGTTTGATATAGGTATTTAAGTTTAGAATAGAATAAAAGGTATAGCTCTATTTATATACATAAATGTTAAAATAAGAAGAATATATCTGAATTTTCCATTTAGGAGTTTTTAGATTAGTCAAATTAGAATATACTGCATCAACATACGTTTAGTACACCTACTTAAGAAAATTGATGTGCCCTACCTGGGTTCACGCATGGAGATATACAACCTGTTACATAACTAACCAAAAAAAAGAATATTTTTCATTATCATCAGTCGATAAAATAATCACATCACTATTCTAGGTCAGGTGCTACACTACCTGGCGACAAAAGTCCGCTTCGGCATACATTGCTGGTTGACTTAGTTTCTTGTATTGATGACATTAATGTAATAGCCAGCAATGTAGACCGAACTGCGCTTCGCCGCGTCGGTAACTTCGTGTGAACTTTGAGCTGTCAAAATTAGTGCTGCGATGCCACGATTAAAAATAAATGTAATTTAATAAAAAAATATTTTTTTCGTCGTTTTCAAAAACGATGCTATGGCTCTAATTTTTTGTTAATTGACTCTTTGCAACGGACCTTTCCACACCCTTTCAGCTTTATTGGTTGTTTTGTAACACGTTGTATTTAAGACCTTTATAAAACCCGTGAATACAATAAATATTAATATCTTAAGGTTTTATGTCGAAAATGGCTCTAACAAATTTAATTATCTCTTAGCAACATTCTAAGCTCCCCAGATAAAATGTCGTATCGTTTCGTTACCTATTCTCAAGAGGCTGCAAATATTATCGCTTACATAAACTTGTAATTAATTACGATCCGTGACATAATTTAATTTAACAAGCGAAACTTTGTAACAAAAGCTTTAGGTACTTGTAATTTACGAACGAACGAAAAAGGGATAAAGCGAAATCTTCAAATTGTAATAAACTCGTAGCGCTCAGGCTGCTTTAGTTAGAAACCCTGAAATAATGGTGACTCCAGCCCAGAACTCTTTCCGAGTACAGTAACAAAGTACAGCTTTACGCGACCCCGTTTTGCAATTTTAGGCGGCAGGATGACAACCTGTCACTACGGTGATACACAGTCTTCTTAATGACTCTCGAACTTTTGTCAGACCAGACGTGGTCTAAATGGCCGTTTATGCTTTGCCTACCTTGTAATGGATATAGGTGTGTATGAAGGTAGAGAAAATATAGAATAGGTATACCATAAAGACACATTAACCTACAAACTTGAGAGACAGAAACGATCGATAACCAATAACCTAAGTCTGACGCATAATAATGGTAGCTCGTTAATATTCATTATGCAAAAACAGATATAAATGACCTTTTTACCCACGGCCTTTACTTCTCAATACTTACGCCCACGTAGGGTTGTCGCTAAGGAGAAATATCCCGCCAAGCATATTAAACTAGCAGCCCGTTAGCGGTTTTACCCGCTGCAACTAATTTTCTCGCGGAAAAAGAGGCATTTTAATTTATAAACCTTACTTTTGAATCACTCTATTTATTACAAAAAAGCACATCAAAATCCGTTGCGTGGTTTAGGAGGAGTCAGTGAATTCCACGACAGACAGAGAAACGCAGAAAGCGACTTCATTTTATAATTGTAGGTACATATTGATGATCAAGGTATAATAATCGGTTGTATAACAAGCTATACCAAAATTAATAAAAGACTATCGCTTCGTGTAATAAAATACTTACTCTATTTCCAAATCACCAAACCGATGTCTGGGTTCAAAGCTTCCAACAAAATCAAATCAAGATCGAAGACAGTAACGTAGAATTTCAATTATTTTTAGGATGAATGAACTAGAAAAGTAAATGTTTTTATCCATAATCTTACTTCTCAATAGTTACGCCCACGTAGGGTTGTCACTAGGGAGAAATATCACCTCAAAGAAATATCGCCTCAAAAGAATTATCGCCGTCTGTCTTCCTACTGTGGGTAAAGTTTCAAAGCAGCGCTGCACGCGATATCATAATCGGATGCACTTGACTGACTTTAGTCTATGTAGGTCAACTCAAAGCTGTTTATAGATTTTGCGATTGAATGAACTCTACTT